TTTGTGAGAGTTTTTGTGACTTTGATAAGAAAGGAATAAATGAAATTGGTATAAGGAATTGAGCTCGAAAAATTTTCTAAGAATTTTCTTTATTCTTTAACCTTTATTCCTGTCGTGATATTCAATTAGGTCGCCTGAGGAAGGACTTGCTTAGCTAACACACCAGTGTAGTAAGCAGCTCATTTCTCACTTTGGGACCATATATGAACAATTGACTAGGCGCGAGCAAACGCCGAGACCCCAATAAAAATTGAAATCCCTTCTACTTGGGCCGACGACCTTCGCCATTCGCCGAAGCGAATCTAACGAGTAGGTCCTGGGGTCTCAGAACAATAATTTATTGTTGTGTGGTGCCGTATATTTGGTCCAAAACTCAGAATCAGTCTCAATTTGATTAGTCGAGTGTGAAGAACACTTGCATAACAATTATAATGTGTGGGATGTAACGAAAATACAGTGTTAAATATAACAACTTAGTTTATTCAATAAAGTACTAACTACTACAACAAAACAAAAAGAAATATCAATGACGTTACTCGAAATCCTTCCTGTGACACTATCAATGACAGCTAGACACCAGCCCCTCGGACTGCATAATGAACTAACTCGAACATAAGCGTGAACACACGAATCAACAAGAAACAAGAACTAACAGATCTATAATCACAATTACATCAAATGACACATTGGGTTCTGGAACACGTCTCCAGTAACCTCCTAACTGTTCTACGCCTCAGTGCAGTTTTACCCCTGCAATGGCGGTTGCAATGCAATCAAATCAGTAGCCTCTCAATGACAACAATAACTAATGGGTTCACTAGCAACTCCAACAACCCTTCCTCAAATTAATCCTTACGTTAACACTCCGTCCCACGGGCGATCAACAATCAATAACAATTGATTTACGTTAATAGGAAAATAACATTTACGTTAGTTTACGTTAATCGGTTACTAATCACTCAGCGATGGTAAACTCTGATTTACAATGTTCAACGTGCTAAGAGAACGGTAATCACTCGTGATTACCTTTAGAGTAATTAATTACTATCTTCAAGACCAATAATTAAACAATTAAATACGCAACCTTTCACACTGGCTCAGCAATTTATATTAAGGTATGAATTCCGTCTGAGCCTTCCATACTCAGACCAATTCAGGTGGTTAATAACAGTAATTAAGCACCACGTTTACGTTATTCTAAAATGACGTTACTCCTCCCACGAGTCAATCAAGTGCCGGTACTTCCGGACAGATAAATAACGACGTTACATTAATGGAACAATGGAGCCTTCGTGTGAGTCGATCAAACAAGGATCGAGGTTATTTACTTTGACTTCCTGAAACACGTCAATTACCCGGCCCACTGACCGTTAATTACGACAGACAATACTCTAATTCTTATCTGGGTGATGGCTAGGCTCCTTGAGACTACCGTAGCTGCTTGCAGGACAGTAAATTAACCCAAACGTATTCTACGTTACTCAAATTGTCAAAGAACATATTCTCTTAAAGCAATGGGCGTTCCCTTGGTTACGTTATATTGATTGACTCGCAATCACCTCACTGAATACTGGTCTTCGATGTCTTACCAGATAAACAGGAGAATATATAACCCAAGTACTCGTCTACAGCCGAGTTCATCCACGACAGTGACAAATCACAGTGATTTACGTTACAATCCGGTTGCAATGACAATACTGCAGAACCTAGTAAAATAACATACAGGACATGAACCCTCTAGAACACTGCCCCACAATGACTTTACTAAACTGCAATCACATACGGTGATGCTCAACACTAGCAACAATCACCATCAAATAACAACTCCTTTGCAATAACACACACGGCAAGTACTCTAATTTCCAAGTATTAGAATACTGAACAACACATACTGTTGCAAATGACCAACAGGGCTCTCATTATCCCTTAGAACATAGGTCCACAATTTGCAATCACCACAGTAAATAACACAATAACACTGGGCACTGTGTCACTACGATGCTATATATATATATATATATAATTACTGCTGATGCATGTAGCCTACAGCTATCAAACGTTATTGGGAACACTAAGGATATCTCGCACTCCTTAAATCACATGGGTGAGTGATTTATCGATCCCGCAGGCCGATAAACACTACCGAGAATTACGTTACTCGACAGAGCGACGGCGGTCTCTCACGACAGCCTCGTCACTCACCAAATTCTACCAAAATTACGTTAATACTGCAACCACAATACATATATATATAAATCACACTTGTCACGGCCCTGGGAACAATACAAGAAATTAAGACTACACTGTGGTACACTCCACAATAATCATTGCCAGGAATACTGCCGTTACACACACACTAACCTGAGCACTCAGTGTTGGAATTCCACACCTGGAAGACTACACATGGAAATAATATCACTCCGTCCCACGGACGATCAAAAATGATTTAATTACCACAATGGAATAATATAATTATTACATGGACATCCTCACAGTCCTTGGCTAATCTATGTATACTCTGTTCCCGTGTGTACCCACAAACACTGTACGTCTGTGTACATAAGACGGAAGTCACTCTGAACTGACAACAAGGGTGATTATCTCCTCATCCACACTTCACTTCACCTCCACAGGTGCTGTGTGACAATGTGATGGAACACGTGACTTTCGAATTCAAGCTTTTAGAGACTAACTGATCACCAGAAATATACACATAGGTACTTATTCATACTGCCGGCCTACACACCATTCCCTTACATCAGGCACCCCGCTACTGGTGGCTGGCTCACAGTGGTGGAGATTAGGCGGTGCTGGTACTTCACGTGGTATTTTACGTAAAATTGGCGTGCACTCGACCCCCCCCCCCTCACTCACAACACGGCTCGGTTCGCACCTTCGACCCACCGGTGAAGTGAGGCGTTCGTACCCAGGTGACGCGCACGTTAGTGTCTTACACAAACATTGGAAATCTGCCTTAAAACACTGACACGAATTTCCCCGTTCAAAAGTTCCCATCGACTGCTACAGAGCACTAGCAGGCATTATCTATAATCACTGGTATGGGATCTACGAGGCTGTTACTGCTCGTATGCACATTACCCCACAATCCCAGATCACTGGATCTCGCTGTTTTCCTCCTGATGTAGATGTGGAGCAGTTTTGGTTGAGTCTTGGCTTTACTCGCGATGTCATTTTCATTCTGTCTCTCTGCTTCTCTCCTCACTCTGAGGTACTCATTTCTTGCCCTCTGGTATCTCTTTCTGTTCTCTGGTGTTCTGTTATTCCTGTAGTTTCTCCATGTTCTTTTATTCCTGTAGTTTCTCCATGTTCTTGTTCTCAATTGCTTCGCTACATTTACATTTATGATTGAACCATGGATTCATCTGTTGCTTTTCGTTTTTCTTCTTTTGGGCCGGGATAAACCTGTCTGCAGCTTCCTGACACTTCTGGGTGACTTAGTCCATCATTTCTTGTACAGTCTTCTCTCTGAGTTCTATTTCCCATAGTATTCCCATTAGAAAATTCCTCATCTCGTCCTATTTTCCTCTTTGGTAATGTAGTCTTTTCCCTTCCAATCCCAACCTTGTATAGGTTATCCCTACCTCTACCATATATTAAAATGTCAATTGACTGTGGTCACTCATTCCCATGGGGGCTTAAAATTTGACTTCTTTTATTTCTGACTCATTCAAGGTGAATATCAAGGTCGAGTCTAGGTCTTGTGGGTCCCTGGCATGTTGGTTCAGAAAGTTCCTTGTTGCCACTTCCACGAGTTTAGCTCTCCATGTATCTGCACCTCCATGTGGGTCCTCATAATGTTCTCATGATGCTGTATGTAATGTTCTCAAGGTGCTGTATACGATGTTCTCAAAGAGTTGTTTACCGTGTTCTCCAGGTGATGTATGTAATGTTCTCAAGGTGTTGTATTCGATGTTCTCAAGGAGCTGTATACAGTATACAGTAAATTACAGTGTATACAGTGCTCTATTCAATGTTCTCAAGGTGGTATATAACATTTTCTGAAAGTGTTCATGAAGATGGCGTGTGGCACCTGCTTCAAGGGGATCTCAACGATGTGGGTGCCAGTCCGAGAGGGATTAAACTTAACTCGAGCAACCATTGAGTCTATAATTTGGCATTATATGTGTATATCCACAGGGCGGGAATGGTCACCCTAGTAGACATCAAATATTTAGATGGGAGAAGGTAGACGGCGTTGTAGTAGCTATCAAAAATTTAGTCACTCCCAGGTGAGGAAGTCGACACTGACAAGGGAGAGGCTGAGGGAGTGAGACAATCAGTAGGGGAAGCCAAAGGCAACACCTGGACTTTGTTTATCACAACTGGAGACATGGAACCCGATCCTATACCACAGTCAGGTTCGGGGAGGCCCTGGTCGCCCACCTCCACAAGCCAGAGAAGAAGGGATGTGTTGGGATGAAGACTTAACAGTATCAGAAACTGGACACTTAGTCCCACGCCCCCACCCACCCTCTTTGGGTACAACCCCACACACAGCCCAACAAGGGCAGGCATAACCATATGAGCAACCTCAGGGGTAACAGGACGTATACATGGATCACAATTTAAAGCCCTGGAGAGTATCCAGGAACCAATAGGGATTCCAGTCCTACAAAGTAAATTTGAACCTATGTCTAACTATGTGGGGTAACTAGACGAGATGATTGGTTGTTGTGGGGGCCCTGAACCTCCCGTTTTACCCGTCCCTCCCACCAAAGAAGTCTATTGCCCCAGGGCTGCAGCTGCTGGGTTGGTTCTACTACTAGATGAATGATACAAGGAAATGCTGTGTATTTCGCTCGGGCACCGTCACGGCAAGCCGGAGAAGGGGGCAGGAACCGTCTGTACCTATTCGCAAGCGGCTTACAAGAGTCCCCTCATCACGTCAAGAAAGTACCCATTCAGAGGGTTAATCTACAAATTAGATTCCGAGGAGTCTGTCATTACTCTGTATTATTTCTCAAATTCTCTCATTTCTTAGATTGTTTTGGACCACGAGACATATGTGATGAACCTTACGGAGGCAGAGAAGACGGGTGAAGCGAGGTGGTACCAGCTGTACAGCGCCCGGGACCAGTACGGCATGATGGGGCTCACCCCAGCGGACTGGCAGGACCTGGCAGATCGTATGGCTGCTGACCGACACTTGTTTGATCTATACTACAGGTGAGGCTAACACATACTCTCCATATTCCTTATTGTCGATATCAATTATTTCCTTTACTGCACATAAACCTGAGTCGCTGGCGTGCAATGATGCTCGCTCGTCGGTGTTACTGATCATGTGGAGAAAGATAATTATATATCAACATAAACTAATGTTTTATATATTAAATTAGATTTATAGATAATTTGTTACAACAATTACCTTACCAAGACGTGTTATTACAATAAAAATTTACATCTGGCCAGTTAAAATACTTGTTTATTTTATTATAAGTTCTGTTTATACTCTGGTAACCACCTGTTTGAAAATCATGTACTACACCTATCACTTATTCTCTATATACATTCGGTAGGACTACTTGATTAACTACCTCCCAAGTGTGTAAGATAGGTAAGCCTCTGGGCCTCCATTTTCGCATCAACTCTTTAGTGTACACACAAAAATCACACTAGAATGATATATTAAATTAACATATCCACAAGGGCCGTGATGGAGGTTCGAAAAAACGCACGGGATGTTCCCAGGCGCTTCTTTAAGGCGCTACTGGGAACATCACGTGAGTAGGTTTGAGCCCTCAAATCCACCCTTGTGGATTTGTTTGTTAGTGTAGTAGTTATAATTCATAACCTCCGATTCAGTCGCTGCCTTATGTAATTCAGTTAACATAGGATCAGTTTTTTATGATTTATAAACTTTAATTTTAGTCTCAGGTCTGAAAAGCTAGTCGTGGTAACTGGACTACACTCTGTCTTATCCCTTTTCCTATGTGGTTTGGTGGAGGTGCTCCCAATCCTGTTCCCATCTCCTTCTTGCAGCTTGGTCATAAAAGTGTCAGAAAGATCCATCTTACATTTTGACATCTCAGACTATATTTGTCTCCTGACTTGCATTTTTGGAGGTTACCGATGATTGAGACTCCCTATTCCTTAATGTGGACTGGGTCACGACACATGCTGGGTACAGTACATAGTCCTCAGAGTCTGTCAGTGCTAATCACCTCTGGGCTTGCTTAGTATATTTCGGTGGTCTTCCCATTTAACCAGATTTCCATCAGAATCATTTCCCCACAATTAGATCTACGGCAGTAACTGGTAATTTAGTACTAACACCTACTAAACATTTGTCTTTATGAAATCACACTCAAGGTTAACTTCTCTCAAGGGTACAGTCTGGAAGTCACCAGTAATTCCCTGTATAATTATTATATCACCAATCTCTGTAGAATGTATATATTGTAAAACACTCAACTAATAAAGATTATTAGGATGCTCCTGAATCCCTTAATATTTTAATATCATGCGACATTCCATTTGCAAATTATATTTTCTCGTTGGATAAAAAAATCTCTTAAATTATTTGTTGTAAGTGTTTTTTGTCCCTTTACATTTTGTACACATTTGGATTTATTTCCTTCACAAATTGTGAGTGTCATAGGCCTCTTTCTTAGGGTGAAGAAACCAACAACTCTCTACAAAAGACCCTTTCACTAGTAGTAGGAACACTTTCATCCATGGGTGAGGTTTTATACTGGTGTGATCCTCTTTGGGTTTCTCCTCATTCCCCACTTTACTATCGGACACCTTTGGAACAATGTTTCCTTAACCGGCTGTAGGACGCACTTATGAAGCAGACTTGGTAGAAGGGTTAGTTGTTTGGTAAGATCCTTGTTTATATCAGTGAGGTTTATTGTTAAATGGCACTCGGTGAATTAACTTGTATTCACCTGCCAATCTAGCCAACAGATACATACCTCTAGGGGGGGGTTTCTCTGCCAGATACAGATCCACATTATAACGTATGCGAGATGAGAACTCTTCAACCACGAGTAATTTTTTTTTAGTGTCCAGATCCCTAATCTTTCCGACATCTAATGACTATTAAACATATAACATTTCTTTTGTGCAAAATTTACGAAAGTTTCACCTAGCTGGGCCTCATCTTAGTTTTCTAAACCTCTGTCGATATGCCTCTGACATAAGTTCATAATCATTAAGAATGGCTGCTTTTGCCTTATTGTGATCAAAGCTGTCATGCAAGGGTCTAGATGCAAAAATCCTCTGTGCATCTCTCCTGTAGACCGGCAATACCTACTGTATTTCTGGCCACTCCATACTCTAGGCCATCTTCACAAACCACTTGGGCTGGTCGGTAGAGCGATTGTTTCGCTTCATGCAGGTCGGCGTTCAATCCCGACCGTCAAAGTGATTGGGCATCATTCTTTCCCTCCCCGTCCCATCCGAAATCCTTATCCACATCCCTTCCAGGGAACCAGATTCACGAAGCGGTTACGCAAGCACTTACGAACCTATACATTTTTTTCTCAGTCTTTGGCGGCTTTGTTTACACTTATTAAACAGTTAATGAGCTCCGAAGCACCAAGAGGCTTTTTATAACAATAACAACAGTTGATTAGGAAGTTTTCATGCTTGAAAACTGTTTAATAAATGTGACCAAAGCCGTCAAAGATTGTGGAAAGATGTACACGTTCGTAAGATCTTCTGTTTGTGAGAGTTTTTGTGACTTTGATAAGAAAGGAATAAATGAAATTGGTATAAGGAATTGAGCTCGAAAAATTTTCTAAGAATTTTCTTTATTCTTTAACCTTTATTCCTGTCGTGATATTCAACTAGGTCGCCTGAGGAAGGACTTGCTTAGCTAACACACCCGTGTAGTAAGCAGCTCATTCCTCACTTTGGGACCATATATGAACAATTGACTAGGCGCGAGCAAACGCCGAGACCCAAATAAAAATTGAAATCCCTTCTACTTGGGCCGACGACCTTCGCCATTCGCCGAAGCGAATCTAACGAGTAGGTCCTGGGGTCTCAGAACAATAATTTATTGTTGTGTGGTGCCGTATATTTGGTCCAAAACTCAGAATCAGTCTCAATTTGATTAGTCAAGTGTGAAGAACACTTGCATAACAATTATAATATGTGGGGTGTAACGAAAAGACAGTGTTAAACATAACAACTTAGTTTATTCAATAAAGTACTAACTACTACAACAAAACAAAAAGAAATATCAATGACGTTACTCGAAATCCTTCCTGTGACACTATCAATGACAGCTAGACACCAGCCCCTCGGACTGCATAATGAACTAACTCGAACATAAGCGTGAACACACGAATCAACAAGAAACAAGAACTAACAGATCTATAATCACAATTACATCAAATGACACATTGGGTTCTGGAACACGTCTCCAGTAACCTCCTAACTGTTCTACGCCTCAGTGCAGTTTTACCCCTGCAATGGCGGTTGCAATGCAATCAAATCAGTAGCCTCTCAATGACAACAATAACTAATGGGTTCACTAGCAACTCCAACAACCCTTCCTCAAATTAATCCTTACGTTAACACTCCGTCCCACGGGCGATCAACAATCAATAACAATTGATTTACGTTAATAGGAAAATAACATTTACGTTAGTTTACGTTAATCGGTTACTAATCACTCAGCGATGGTAAACTCTGATTTACAATGTTCAACGTGCTAAGAGAACGGTAATCACTCGTGATTACCTTTAGAGTAATTAATTACTATCTTCAAGACCAATAATTAAACAATTAAATACGCAACCTTTCACACTGGCTCAGCAATTTATATTAAGGTATGAATTCCGTCTGAGCCTTCCATACTCAGACCAATTCAGGTGGTTAATAACAGTAATTAAGCACCACGTTTACGTTATTCTAAAATGACGTTACTCCTCCCACGAGTCAATCAAGTGCCGGTACTTCCGGACAGATAAATAACGACGTTACATTAATGGAACAATGGAGCCTTCGTGTGAGTCGATCAAACAAGGATCGAGGTTATTTACTTTGACTTCCTGAAACACGTCAATTACCCGGCCCACTGACCGTTAATTACGACAGACAATACTCTAATTCTTATCTGGGTGATGGCTAGGCTCCTTGAGACTACCGTAGCTGCTTGCAGGACAGTAAATTAACCCAAACGTATTCTACGTTACTCAAATTGTCAAAGAACATATTCTCTTAAAGCAATGGGCGTTCCCTTGGTTACGTTATATTGATTGACTCGCAATCACCTCACTGAATACTGGTCTTCGATGTCTTACCAGATAAACAGGAGAATATATAACCCAAGTACTCGTCTACAGCCGAGTTCATCCACGACAGTGACAAATCACAGTGATTTACGTTACAATCCGGTTGCAATGACAATACTGCAGAACCTAGTAAAATAACATACAGGACATGAACCCTCTAGAACACTGCCCCACAATGACTTTACTAAACTGCAATCACATACGGTGATGCTCAACACTAGCAACAATCACCATCAAATAACAACTCCTTTGCAATAACACACACGGCAAGTACTCTAATTTCCAAGTATTAGAATACTGAACAACACATACTGTTGCAAATGACCAACAGGGCTCTCATTATCCCTTAGAACATAGGTCCACAATTTGCAATCACCACAGTAAATAACACAATAACACTGGGCACTGTGTCACTACGATGCTATATATATATATATATATAATTACTGCTGATGCATGTAGCCTACAGCTATCAAACGTTATTGGGAACACTAAGGATATCTCGCACTCCTTAAATCACATGGGTGAGTGATTTATCGATCCCGCAGGCCGATAAACACTACCGAGAATTACGTTACTCGACAGAGCGACGGCGGTCTCTCACGACAGCCTCGTCACTCACCAAATTCTACCAAAATTACGTTAATACTGCAACCACAATACATATATATATAAATCACACTTGTCACGGCCCTGGGAACAATACAAGAAATTAAGACTACACTGTGGTACACTCCACAATAATCATTGCCAGGAATACTGCCGTTACACACACACTAACCTGAGCACTCAGTGTTGGAATTCCACACCTGCAAGACTACACATGGAAATAATATCACTCCGTCCCACGGACGATCAAAAATGATTTAATTACCACAATGGAATAATATAATTATTACATGGACATCCTCACAGTCC